CTATCGCATACCTACGATATACTTACGTAGATATTAGAACCTTGAATAAGTTCTCGCTGATTTTTCATGAAAATTAATGCTTTATTTAAAAAAAGTCGTAAAAAACATGTTACTGAAAGTATTGTTCATCGCTAACCACTACTTTTTCCCATCTTTCTGACAGCATTTGAATTCCACGTCGGAAAAACACGTCTTTTGAGGCTATTCAAGAGTCGACCCATTTTTTGGCATCTTCATAAGAATGGAAGTGCTGCTCAGCCAGGCCATGTGCCATCGATCGGAACAAGTGATAATCGGAAGGGGCAATGTCTGGTGAATACGGCGGGTGGAGTAGGACATCCCATTTAAGCGTTTCCAAGTATATTTTCACCGTGTGCAACATGTAGCCAAGAGTTGTCATATTGCAAAATCACTTTGTCGTGTCTCTGCTCGTATAGCGGCCGTTTTTCCTTCAATGCTTTGAGCTCGGCTCAAACGCATCAATTGTAGTCGATAACGATCTCCCATGATGGTTTCGTTCGGTTTGAGCAGCTCATAATATACTACATCCAGCTGATCCCACTAAATGTAGAGCAGAAGCTTCGAACCAAGGATATTCGGCTTTGCCGATGATGTTGATGCATGGCTGGGCTTACCCCACGATCTTTTACGCTTAGGGTTATCGTAGTGTATCCACTTTTCATCGCCAGTCACAATACGATGCAAAAAAACCTTTCCTTTTCTGCCGTTGAAGCAACTGTTCACACGTGAAAAAACGCCATTCGACGTCTTTTGGCTTCAACTCATACGGTACATGCTCAATGTCCTTGCTTTTGAATCATTCCTAATACTTTCAAACGTTTCGAAACTGTCGTGTGATCAATTCCTAATGATTCTGCAAGTTCAGCTAGCGTCTGAGTCTTCATGAAATAATGCCTCCAATTCTTCGTCTTCAAACTTTTTCGGTGCGCCAGAGCGTTCTTTATCTTCAACATCAAAATAATTATTTTTGAACCGTCTAAATCAACCTCTGCATATTGTTTCCGACAGAGCATGGTCGTCGTAAGTCTCAACAACAATTCTGTGTGCTTTAGCCGCAGATTTTTTTTTTAATAAAGTAGTGTAATAAAATTCCCCGCAAATACTCTTTTTTTTGGCACTAAACTCGACATGTTTAACATTATGAAAAAAAAAAGTTGTTTACACTTCGGCGAAATGACATATGTTACATTGAATTTCAAGCTTGCTTATAGTACTTCCTTATAGATGCGTTACTATCTTAAACTATCTTAACATGCAGTTCTGGTAACGCCATTCGTTGGAAAACAGCGAGAATTTATTCAAAGTCCTGATACTTTTTCAAAAATTTGGTTGGGAAAAGTTGGTTCAGACAACCGTACATACATACAATCGATGCAATGTTCATAAGTAAATAATGTGTTCATAGTAACAAGTTTCAGATGTAAAGACTTATTAGATAATGTAAGTTTTACAATTTTGGAATCACGCATTTTACAAAATTCCACTACCAAATCTTGAATCGACAACGGAGAGAGCAATGGTTTGTCAGTTTGCAGAAGCTATTGGATGTCGAGACGTTTTCCCATCAGCTTTCTCCAAATTTCTGTAAGTAATGTTAATTAATTACCACAATTGTCCTCAAGGATTATTTCCACGGTGGGCACAGGTCCTATGCTGATTCCAATCTTCAAATATTTGTACGACGTTGCAGTCAGAGCATATTTGCGTCCCAGGATACGAGCAGTATGACGCGGTTGCGAAGTGCTGTAAAAAATATAACAAAAGTTAAATGTATGAAAAACAATTTAAACTGGAAAAAAGTGCATAAAAAATTTGCATTGATATTTACTTTTTACACCTTTTCTTATACGATGGGATGTCACCATCATCATGTTGAACGGGCAAGTAATAATTTGCGTGTTTAGTGTTCACGTCGGCACACCATACATTTTGATTTTTCTTTTTACTGTATCCAGGAACTACCACAAGAATCTTGTCTGTACAGATTGACTAATGAAACCATTGTACAAGTTTCTATTAATATAGACAAGTACCCACCAACATTGTTATCCCCTTTCTTCTTCTTCAGAATAATTAACACATGTATTGATACATTTTCCGAAACTAGATAATAAATCTATGACACAGCGTCGTAGCCAATCGATTAAGCAATTATACGTCAATAAAGCAATGTCAGCCATAGCGTATTACAGCGCAAGAGAAAATGATATACTGTAAAATATATAATATTTATACTTTTATTACAATTTTTAAACGTTATAATTTAATAACGCTATGCATTTCATTTTAATATAGCTTAAATTTTTTTTATCAAGCGCCGTCTAATCTGGCAGTAGATAGCTAACTAACATTGATACCAAGGATTTATCAACTTTAGAAAAAGGGAATATACACTTTTAGGTAGGAAGAAGAAGAACATATAAAAATAAAGAGTGTTTCAGCAATGTATGTTTAGTCGAAGCAGCGATGGAAGATGAGCAACAAGTTTTCATGGAGGAGCAGGAACCCGATAAAGATCATATTCTAACTGACGACGATGTCACGCGGTTCTTGCCGTAGAGCGGTCGGACGACCGTTCGTGACACCGACAGGTGGATGTTCTCGCCGGTGTCCACGGGTCCTTAACGCGCGATGTGTGTGTGTGTGTGTGTGTGTGTGTGTGTGTGTGTGTGTGTGTGTGTGTGTGTGTGAGGGTGAGTGAGCGAGCCGTGTTATCCAGAAAACAAAACAAAATAATTTATTCTATGTATACAATAGGTGTGTCGGTCGCGGTGTCTCAACCGGTTCCAAATTATAACGCGAGCTTAAACCTAGGCGCGAACTTAAAACTAAACGCGAACTTAAAACTGAACGCGGACTTATAACTAAACGTGGACTTATAACTACCGAACGGACGCTTCCTCGCGGTGCCTGGAGTGCCGCCTGTCGCAGGTCTCCCCGTGCAGCGGTAACGGCGCGGATGATTCGCGACGTGGCGGAATCTCGGCAGCGGCGCGCGGCGGCCGTTCGCGGCAGCTTCGACGGTTCGCAGTGGCGTCGACGCGCTGTCGACTAAGGCTGCGTTCCGAAATTTACTTCCAGTACTGAAAATCTATAGTTCATGTCACATATACTATAGAATTTCAGTACTGGCAGTGAATTTCGGAACGCAGCCTAAGTCGGAGGGTGCCAAGGATGGAGATGGCGGAAAAGGCGCACGAGGGAGCCAGCAGGTGGAAAGCCCAAAGCTCAGGGCAGAGACGGTCAGCTCGCCACCTCTATGTCCCTCGTGTGCTGGTTCGGCTCGTGATGCAACCTTGAGGGCAGATGAATGCACCTTTCCTCTTGGTCGTATCTCGAGTTGGCAGGGAGATCAGGAGCGCTTGACCGAGGCGGTGAGCGCGCCACCTCTGTTCCCCTTGCCTTTTAGAGCGGATGCTAAGCGTGAAACGCTACACCCGGAGCGATGAGCGCACCTTTCCGGTCGCAACGGTCTCAGGAGTGCTGACTTATGCCAGCGAGGAATCAGAATCGGCGATCGTACTCGTGAGAGTACGAACGCCGCGGGATTGGTGTCTTATCACTCTCGTGTGCGCCTTTTATACTCGGCAGCTCGCGATTTCGACACGTACGCCGTTCTCCCACGCGAGGGAATAATCGGCGGCGTCGCGAGTCGGCGGCGGTTTCGCCTTATTTATTTGGCGCTTTGCGCCTATTATACGACTCGACTAGTGTTCGGTCGGGTCGTCGTGACGAGGAGGAAATATCTCGTCACAACGACAACTATTATAGTGATTGTAGTGACATTTTTTTAACTAAAAAAGTCAAAGTTTTAAATTATTCCGAAATTAATAGTTTAAGTGGACAAACGAAAGTGTGTTGCATATATTTTTATTATTATACCGGAGGCGCATTGCATTTCTGCACATTATGTTTTCTCGAAATTATTGATACAGTGTCACAAATATACGCAGTATATAAACACATGACAGAGAGACACGATGCGATTACCGATATATATTGTTCCAATTGTAAAGGTTCGGTATATCAAATAATACCGTGCAATATGTGCCTCATATGTACTCAATAAAGAAGAAGACTTTATATGAAAGACAAAGAAATGGGAGACTTATCAAGAAGGATATCCATAGTACAGTTTGTGCGCGACAGAGAACTCGGTTTGCGAGGAATAAACGAACACGGTGTGAAAGAAAATGTTAAAGTTCGCGAGTGCTGTCTTAAAGATTGGCCCCATGACTTAGTGCAGGAGCACTAATCAAATAGCGGAAGACTTACGTCGGGTTATGACTAAGAATATAAGTGAGGTAAACTCTAAATTGATTGAGTTTATAATGCCTCCGGGCATGACAAAGTGGGTGAACAACCGTAAAATTCCAAGTTTCTATATAAAAGTTCCGGCAGGTGGTGGCAAAAGTTTACACATATAATGCTGTTCTATGACATACATTTCTATTGTGATTTATGGAATATTCGTATCCCAATTTTGAAAATAGAGAGACACGATAAACGCAAACTTTGTGGGTCTTATCAAGACAGTTTGAAGTGGCCAAAATTAGATACAATCATTTCGGACAACGAATTTGGTATATCACAGTGTGAACGGTGTCAACAGTGTCCGTATGATGTGTGGGATATGGTGATTTTAGATCTTTAGTTGACTGATTGAACGATAAATTGAGAAATTCTCAGTGTGTTGTGAAAAAAAAATGGGAAAACATACAAATCGAACGAGAACTGTGGGAGCAGTCGGCTCGACTGAGTTCGCGAGACAAGTACGACGCGTGGGCGCAAAAGTGCGACGAGTGCATCGAATCGTTGGAAGAATATAGTCAAGCTAAACGACTACGATTATCGATCGGTGCTAGACAGTCATTGGTTGCTCGAATTACGCAACTCGAGGGTTTAAAAAATACATTACGCACACGTTTCATTCACGCGGGTGCCGGACACAGCGCGAGAGACGCAGGACTCGTTTGGCACGAGGTCGATACCGCGTTCGATAGTCGTGTATTAACCGCAGTTGTCATCAACGCGAACTACATTGAACTTCGTCAATTTCTCGAGGACGCAAAGATTATGGTGCTCGAGCGCGTACGGGACGCAATGAAGATGTAAATGTGAAAGTAAACACTGCGTTTAACGGTGAATTCGTCGTGGGTGAAAAACGTGCAATAAAAAGCATCAATACGAAAAACTGTGAACTATTGCCTGCGTCCGATCTACAAAAGTGGTACGAGCGACGCATCCTCAAACCCACTTTGATATCGTTGGAGGAGTTTCAGGAACGCGATAGCAGGTGGACGCTATCGCGAATACTCAATCTTACAATCAACGTAAAAATATACTATCCGTTGCATGCGGGGTGTCATTTGAGTTACCGTGTGAAATACAGCTGAAGCGAGCTGTGATTAATATTAAATCTATGGACAATGCATGTTTCGCGTGGGCAGTGGCTGTCGCTCTGCACCTAACCGAAAGAAACACACATCGAGAATCCTCGTATTTCCACTATACCACCGTACTCAATCTTCAAGGCATTGAGTTTCCGATATCTGTGAATCAAATAACAAAATTTGAACAACAAAACGATATATCCATCAACGTATACAGTGCCGAAAAGAATACGGAAAAGAAAACGAGATATGTGATCTTTTCGATACGCCTAACCAGCCACAAGATGGACAAACACATCAACCTATTATACATGTCGCAAGATGACAACGTTGGACACTTTGCATGGATAAAAAACCTGTCTCAACTCGTTAGCATGCAATTGACGAAACACAAAGGAAAGAAGTACATTTGTGACCGGTAAGTATAAATCTGAAAAAAACATTACAATATCTTGTGAAAAAAATAGTAATAAAAAAATGATTGTTTACAGATGCTTGCACTACTTCAGTCCGAACAAAAGGTTGCATGTCCATATAAAGGATTGCAAAGAGATGAACGACTGCGCCATTATTCTGCCGACTGATGACAACAAGTGGCTAAGATTCAGTAATTACAGCAGGCAGGAGTAAGTTTAATTTGTAGTGCACGTTGACTTGGAGTGCACGCTGGATAAGACCGCAAAGAACGGAGAGGATCACAAATCGCACATGTATCAGCATCATAAAGTATTTAGCATGTTGCACGGACGGATTTTACACATCTTTTTGCGCATTGAGCGCGTTTTCGGTACGTATGGAGGAGATAAAGATCCCTGAGTTCGTATACATAACAATATATTGATAAATAAAATTATATTTATTTATCACTCATATCACTGTCGGATGAATTAGATTGAGAATTATCCGATTCCACGTTTTGTGTTTCGGATGTAAACAGAAGTTTCATTGCCTCTGGAGACAATTTTGTTGATTTTTTTTGGTGTAATAGTATATATGACACTATTACGGGATCTGACGATACCAACAAGATTTTCAATAAATCTTCGTTAGTATGAAGTCTTGTATCTTTTCTTGTATGGTGCTCTCTAAAAAAAATGATAATCTTTGTTGCGAGTTTCCTGAGCTTCTTCTGAAAGTAGCCCTACTGACATTTTACTGTTTTTAATTATTTCTGCCCCGTGGATTAGTACCTTATGTACAACTACAGGCATTGGAAACCATCGATAGTTATGTACAAAGAGTTTTACGGTTCCCATACAATATTGTTGAAAACAATGAATTTTAATTGCGTGATTACTAGTGATTACTTGCAATATTACACTAAATCTAGAGATAATTTCCTTCTTTATTCCTGTAATAGACGCAGAAATGGTGGCATTATTAAAAAATTTCCGCGCAGAATTGCCATCATTAGTATTGCCTCCACCTTGTTTAGGAAAATCTACGTCTAGCAACCCAAGTTGAGAGCAACCCCGAAACTTATCTTGAATATTTCGTTTTCTTAAAGCCACCAAAGTTTTGTTTTCGTTTTGTTTTCGTCTCCTCTCACTTGCCATTTTTTCAAATCTAAACGGTATGCACGAAGTAAAGACTCATAAAATCTTATTCGTGCATGGAGTGGCAAAATGCCGAATGAAAGAGCTTCTTCTC